ATCTCGAATTGGAAGTCGGTGTTTTTCTTGGGGGGTCGCGAGGCAATATGGTCGTCCGAAGGGGGTCGCGGAACGAAAAAGGTTGCGGGCCCCTGCTTTAAGGGGAGAGCTCCGAAGAGGGTGGAAATTTCTAGCTCTGGAGCTAGTTTCTCCGGAAAAGAATGAACGGAAGTCGACCGAACCGAATGTCATTTGAGCTTCGTAGAAAACGTCGACAATTTTGCGAGTAGCAGCTGTCTTTTTAAACATCTCTCCTGAGTGCGAGCAGATCCGCCCTTGAAGGCATTCCGGCGGTCTACCGGGAGTGTGAACATCGGAACCGCGCGGACGAGGAGAACGACGGCCATCGAGCCGCTTGCCTGACCGCTTGGCGGGCTCGCCGCCTGATTGTGAGCTTTCACTCGTTGAATGATATATCATTGTTTCAGTCGCCTGTTTGATAGAGCCCAGGCCCGAGCAGCGGAAGGGTGCGATACTTCTGGATTCCGAGCCGAGACCAGCACGAGATGACGAGATGAGCATGCCTCGGATAGTGGAGCGACGGGACACAAAGAAATCCCCCGCGCGTGGAGAGCTGCGTGGCTCAGTATTCGGTCTGCCTTGCTGTTCGACTCGTGAAATTTCCTCACCTCTCCTTGTGGACGAACTAGAGGACGTACACAACGCACGGGCAATCGCCATCCAATATCGATCAACAAGTCGACGGAATCATATTCCATATGATGGCACTTTATTCCTGACGCTCAAAAGGATAGAGAAACGATTCTGGAAGGGAGGATTGGAAGCAATAAAGAGGCCGTTTGTGCGAAGCCGGACTGACCCTCCATTTGGCCTATAGGGCACCGTCGGCTTGCGTGGCGTTTTTTTCTCCCGAAGCCTTCCGGCGATCGCCAGCTGTGGCCTTCCCTCTTCTCGTTTTGCTTTCGACGAGGAACAGAGCAACTCGATTTTTCAATACGACGGCCACCTCTATATACAATATATTGTTCCTTCCGAGTGAGCTTCGAGTTTCGAGCGAACAACACTTGTCTCGCCGGCAGTCGTCGAACGGAACTCCTCAAATAAAGTCACAGTTTCGTCCAGCCCGATTCCATTGTATGAGCCCCCAGCCCGGCCGACTCTCGAACTGAGTTCAACAGCTCCTGAATAATCGATTCTCTCTGAGTGCGAGACTCGTTCACTGAGTGGGTACTGAGCTCGCTTGTCATGGTCGCGTTGACAACGGAGACAAAGAAGGACAACGCATGTGAAAGAGGGGTGTCTCCATTTTTCTTGAGACAGCGCCGCCGCCGTCCCGCCAGCCCCGCAACAAGTTCAATGATTTATTGCTCGAGGGACGAGCTTCGCGTTACAACACGCAAGCATTCGTTCGACTAAAGCGGCGAGACCCAACGACCCCAACAATAGAGATTTATTCGACGCCACGACTCGAGTTCCGCCGAACATTAGCACCGAGTCACGTTTCATCATGTTTTCAAATGAGTTCCGTCTCTTTACTATTTTCTGTCGAGTGCTTTTGTCGGGCGAATCTCTTGTCTTTCAGGACTTTCTGTCGTCCCTTCTCCCGTTTGTCGTCGACTCGTTCCGTCGTCATTGTCGTAGGCGTTGTCCTGACACGAGAACTCCACCATTCAATGAGTACTATTTCTTCACTGGTTGTATTATCTCAGGCATTGTTTGTTTGCTTTCTATTTCCATCGCAATTGTTCCTCCCGTCAGCGTGCGAGGGACTTTCCGTCGAACAGGCGGCACGATGCAGTTCCGTTAGGTCTCCTCTCCTCCATGTATATAAATGGCATACTTACCCGACCTATTGGCGGCTTGCTCGGCGGACCGGCGGGGTATTCGGCGACGTTTCAATTTCGATTCAGATGCACTGGATCCTTCCTCTCCTCGCTCCTCTGTGAACCCGTTTGCCCGAAAATCCAACGCGAGCTTGCATAGCGATCGACACAAGCGAAGCGTCGACTCGTCGAACCCGCTCGGAATCCTTGATTGGGTCCTCGACTGCTTTTCCAGGACTGACAGGAACCCTCTTAGTCACCCGGTACAACATGTTCTCGCGGTCCGGTCGCCTCGCGGCTGAATTGTGCCGCTTCGTGGATTGACGTCTCTCTGTATGAGTCAGCTGACATGTCATACGGTCTCGGAGAGAAAATGACCGTGAACAAGAGCAGCACCAGCGAATAAAAACGCCGCGCCGAATTCCTCGCGTCGCCCGTCCGCGCTTCAATGCCCCCGCGGGGAAGGGATCAAATGTCAGACCGAGCACGACACGGGGTCGCATCCGGAAGCAGAATATCGGGACAATATCGGAGGAATCGTGCGGATTAAACGCGGGACCCCTCGCTCCGAGCCAGGTCGGGAGCCCCGGGAGATGAGCACACGCTGAAATATTGATTTCGCATTCCGCAAGCAAGGGTGACATCTGCGCAGAGTCGTTCGCTGACTCCTGCTGGCTGTTGATCCCCTCCTGTAAATTACTTCCATACGTCATCTGAATTGAACCAGTCGGTGGGGCTCCTGGCGAGCCCGCCGGCCGCTAACGTTCCCTCTCAGAAACGTGCCGAGCTGTGGAATCGTGTCGAAAAGGCTCTCCACAAAAAATCGTAGCGATTGGCGACCGCTCGATTCCTTGGTGATTTTCTCCATCGAGAAAATTATCTAATGAGGTTCGATGAAATGATTTCCTGAAAGCACTGATATTCGTCAGTTCAAATGCGGAAGTCGAGTTCCCTGTGTGTGAGCGGTCCGTGCGGCGCGGCGTCGAAACTCTCGGTCCTGTTCTCATCACATTGCTCGAGAGTCGAGGGAGCGGAGGGGAGAATCTCTATAGAAAAACTCCTCGCTGTGTCTCGTTCCAATCAATAGACCATTGTCGCTGATGTGCGAAATTTAATTTAAGTCGTCCGTGTCTTCTGAAAACGGCCTGTTCCTCCTCCTCCGGATTGCGCCAGGCTCTCATGGCAACTTTCGGGATATGTCGAGGGGACTCCGCGAGGATATCGTATAGCAGCACTGACTGCTTGCTTCACTGGCTTTCTTCTTCTACTGCCTCATTCGCGCTCTTCCTCCCTGTTGTCTGAGGGTGAGTCGGTACCCCGTCGCCTCCACTCACGTCCCTAGTTCAAAAACTCGAATTGAGTTTGTGTCGAACGCCGTTAAGGACGGCGGTCGCGTCGGCAGCTTTCTCAGTAAACCGCTGCATTCAACGAGAATAATCCTCAATAAACGTCGGCGGCACCTCGGCATGTTCTCAGTCTACTGCGTATGGAAGGATAGGAAGTATTCGCATCCCCTGCGCAGAGACACCGGGGATGAATACGAAGGCACGGCGAATGAAAGCGATAGATTGTCGGGCGTTATTTTCCCCTATATCCTCGCTGCCTGAGGCACTTGTGCCCCGTACCGTTTTCCGCACTTCAGGCATACGATGCCGCACGTGAGGGAGCGTGGGGCTCTCCCGAGGACTCTATTAGTCTGCTCTTCGCGAATACTGTCTCATGTCGTTTTTCCACCGTCGACGCTGTCCAGCACAGATCTGCCACCTACTCAAGTCTTCGGAAAAGACCGAATCTGCATAAAATGCTCGTCGCAAGTCGACGGAGCCATCGTCTCGACCTCGGTCATCGAGAGCATCTGACCGTCGTTGTGTCGGCTGTTGGGAGGTATGGGTGGCTCGCATCGTCGCGTCGCTCGTACTCGTAGTTCTACTATCGGTCGACAGCCCCACGATTTTGCCAGCCATGTCACCCGTCGTGGAATAGTGCTACCCGAGTAGGCTGCGTCCCAGGGACGGAAAAATCAAGTTACCTCAGCCGAGCACACGGGGGAGCAGCTTTCGCTCGATGGCTTTCCACAGCCGTTCAATTATTCAGTTTCGGTAGAGTGTCGGAGTCTATTCATACATATGTCAGAGTTGAGCTTGTCAAACGAGAGAGCGATCGCCTCTGGGAAACTCTTCTGAAGCCTGCTGCTGCTGCTGCTGCAAATATAGACGTCCCGTTTCCGGTGGAAAACGCCGAAACAGATGTTCGAAGGCTTCGTGGTGCGTTGCGATCCGGAGGGGACGCAGCGAGTCGAAACTGAGTCCGATACATTGCTGTGTGCTCGCCTCCCACCGGGGGAAGGAAAAGCGGGCGAAAGAAGAATAGGCTACAGAAGCAAGCCTAGATTCCCGTGTGCAAGGTGCATCCGTGGTTAACAGTGCCCTGGGGGAATGTTGTGCTCGTCGTAACATCAAAACACGTACTGCGTCTTATTCTACAACAAGCAGAGATCGAACGAGAAATCGGGCATTCACAACTTTTGGAGCAAGGGATTTGCCTAGAACCCGTGTGATTGGTGTTGCGGCACGCAGGCGGACCGACGAGAGGCGCAAAAAACTCCGCAGAATGCTCTGCGTCTGTGGAGCCTCAGGAGGTCGCGACTCCCGAGGAAAGCTCGGGCGTTTTACGCAGCATCTAATTACCGCGGCTACCGCGACTCGGAGCCGAAGAAATAGCGGAAGAGGCAATAAAACCAGATAAGGGCCTCTCGTAAACAACAAGCAAATACATTAAAACACGCACGCGCTCGCCAGCCTCCGCGCCACCCTCCGCGAACCGCCTCCTTCCCGAAAGGCCGGGTAATTATCTCGATTTGACCATTCTGGGTAAGCTCAGTGGTCGACGGGCTGCGCCTGCTGTCCAATTTTCGTTCAGAGCACAAAATCTCGTACGAGACGATTGCGAGAATTACCGGATAAAATGGTGCGAACTCCCCACGCGAGCGATGTGAGTGTTCGAGATTCTCGCAAGTCAAACTTACAGCATTCGCCTGCCAAGCCCCAGCTGCTTTGCATACCGCGGGCAAGTCTTGAGTCAGTCGCTTAGTTTGTTGGTCGTTCGCTCGTTCCTTTGGCCGGTCGCTCGATCACTCGGATCGGGGACCGGCTTCATTAAACGCAATGCCGCGCTGCAAACTTCTCACTTGGTGAAACAAGGAGGACTCATTGGATGAACGCAGAATCCGACCTTCTTCTATTTACATATAATATACACATGGCGTTTCCCGTCTTCCCGTCCCTACTCCAACCTTCCTTCACAGCAAGATAATCTCTTCTTGTTGGATCAGGGACGCCGGCTCAGGAAACGATAAGTCCACTTCGAAAGCCGGGAAGTCCTGCTCGCGTTTGATCCGCATGTAGATCAGTACTCCGACGATCAGATACATCCTGGAGAAGCATGCAAGAGAAGAAACGCTTCAGGGACCCGGTCTTTCAATGGGGAACTGGAACGCTCGCTCCTAGGTTGTTCCATGATATCAGTATGTGACCGGGATTCTCGGGCTCCACTTACACGGCAAGCACGATGAACATCACCGCGCTCATCATCGGCAGCCAAATATCGTCGCCGTGCTGGTAGAGGAAACACATCCCGGATAGGAATGCGTAGATGATTGCTTTGGGGACAAAATCGAGACATCGGATACACCTCCACCATCTCCAAGCCAAGTCGGATCGGTTGTGAACTTCGAGCCAGAAATCGACGACGAAAGCCAACTCCATGACGCTCACAAATACTCCGCAAGCCCTGCAATTTAAGCATACGAAGCGTCAGTCGGCTCCGATTGCGAGAAGGTCCGTGGAATGCCTTCATCCAATTCCGAGAACTCGAAACGGCTCTCTCATCCGCTCTTGAGTTCGATACCCGCTGTCAAGTTATGGCAGAATATGCGCGGTCCTCATCGATTCCACCGACGAGAGTTCCTCTCGACAGATTTACATGGTCTGTCGTGATTTCGGGAGTCTCCGGACCCGGTATTTCAATCCGAGGAATGGAGGAAACCCCTCGTGGTTGATTTCGATGAAGCAAGACAAAGAAATCCCGACCAAGGTCGAGTATCATTCTTGCTCTGACCATGAAGAGACGTTGAATCCTTGAGGGATGATCTCCCGTGGTTACTATATCGATCGCATCTCCTCTCGGCGGATCGTCAACGCGACGGTCCCCCGACTATTGGGGCTCATGCGAGGGGAATTCTCCCGGGCACTTCCACGTCTGGACGGCGGTTTATTTCTACACAGCCCGGAAATCAGCCATCATGAGGTCTCCGAGGATGACAGGATCTATCCGGCGCTCCGGAGCAGACGCTCCGTATATTCTACAGCTATCGCGCCTTCATTCCGTACAGCGCGAGGCTGGCAAGCTAAACTTATGAAGCCATTACATGCTGCTTAAGGACTTTTTTCTCGAACGTCAAATGAGGAAACTTCGACGGGATTCGAATCGGGGATAGTATCGCTCTCATGGGAATTCTTCATGTACTCACACGAGGAAGAATCCGAGCGGACTGTGACGGACGCAGAGCTCCACAGCGACGCCCCACAAAACTGAAAATAATCGCAGTCAACAAGTTAATTTCAGTGAACAACTCAATTTCAGCGGTGTCCCGTTTTCTGAATCGAGGAGGATGGTCAACGTCTTGTGGGGCACTTGGCCTTCGGGATACTCCTCAGAGCAATGAGCCGACAAGCGTGTCATCCGTCTCATGACTCTCATGACCAAGAGAGCGATTGACGACGTACCGGAGAACAGAGTGGAAAGTTCACCTGTTTGCGAGTAACAAGGAGGAAGCTCAAACCACATCGGTTGATGGAATGTATATGCCGAGTCTGTCCGACAGCGCAATCACCCGATGCACTTTCCCCCGACACGGAAGATCCGGCTGCGGAAAACACTCACCGATTGTCGTGAGAACTCCAGTGAACCTGAGGATAGGTATAAGTATATCCAGAAGTTGTGCACTTTCCTCGACCCATAGAGGGCTCGTGTCGACGTAGGTTCGCTCGAACATCACGCCTCGATCACGTCATCGATGCCTCGATCTCCTCTCAACGATGTAAATCCGCTCGGGTTACAACTTTGGACTTCAGCTCGACATGAGATAATCGTGAGTCACACTTAATTGACACGAGCCGAGATTCGTTATTGTGTTCGAGATTGGCGTAGTCATGCAATGCTACTCGAGAAGCGACTGACGCGCAGCTTCAAACTGAGAGCTTCTCGAGGCTGCTCACGGTTTGGGCTCTATTTTTAGCCGCGTAGGTCACTGCCATCGTGGAGAGATCGTCGTGAACGCTCAGAAGGCCAGCTTCGAGCGATGATTCTCTCCGAAGCCTCTCCGTGATAATTCTCCCGGGATCCTCACCGCCCGAGCTCGCCGAGCACCGCATCTTCGATGTTCGAGCAGTTTTCCAAACGCGTTCGCCGCGCGAGGCGGCAAAGTAATGCGGTCCCGGGCTCCTAGTCGGCGAGAGCGGATTCAAGCACAACTTTCTTCACTCTGCCGAGCTTGTTCTTAGGAAAATGCGTTCCCGCATCACGCCGTGGGATGGGAACGCGGCTTAGAGTTTATCTGATTTGTCACAGGACGCATCGTGAAGGTGTGATAGATTAGGGATTTAAAGTTGCTGCGGCGGGTTTCTTCCCGGCCGCCTCCTCTGCCACCGCCACATCGCGCACGGCTAAAAGCAGCAGGGAGGAAATCTTGGGCGTTCCTCGGGCTTCGAGCATCAAATACACTGCGTCTGCGAATGTATCAAATTGAAGTTCTCTCTCCGAAACCCAACTTTACCAGTCCGCGGGGGCTCCTGGGGAACGCGTGGGAAAGAGTCGAATTTCAGGTGTGCTTTTCGAAAACTGATTTACAGCGGGACTGTGTTGCCTAAGCGTTCAGCTGACATCTCGGCCCGGAATCCGGTTCAAAGTTCGAATTTTGTTCGAATTCTAGTACCACGACAGGGAATCATTCAATCTCCGAACACGATAGGGGATCTCAGGGAGTAAGTTCATGTCAACGACTAGAAGACTCAAGGCAGGTACGGCTTCTGCCCTGACCCTGATCTCATCGCGATCACAGATCCAGGGAATTAATTTGTTCCTGAAAAATCTGAAGGACTGAGGCGGAATCGGACCGTCTTCAACCGAGTTCCGTCTTTGATCGAAGTCAGAAGAAGGAATCGGTCGGCGAAATTCCCATGAACTTTTCGAAGAGAGCATTGGAGAGTCTGTTCAAAAAATTTTCGGATCCATTGCCAACTTCGGAACGGAAACCCGCTACAGGAAAAGTGCTCATTCGGATGTGCTCCTCGGATCCGCTGCTCGGAAGAGGGAAGGCGAATGATCGAAGAGATCTGTCCGCCCCCGCTCCCCTCGCCATCGGATGGAAGACTTTGAAAACTTGGGGGCTCCATATTGCCTCAATTGGTCACGATGGCCTCGGGCTCTGCTCTTATGGCGGCTGCCGCTGCTTCGGTCCTCCACCATACATCAAGCTGACTTTAAATCTTAATGGGCGACACACGAGTGGTAAGATTGTAGTTGGATCAGACAGGGTGGAGGGGAAACGGTGCGTTCGGAAGAGGTCGGATCCTGAGGCCATCTGGGGTGCGCACGTGATGAGGGTGTAGAAGCGCTCACCGAAGATCGGGATAAAGAAGAGCCGGAGAATGATTGTTCGTCCCTTCCCTTTGGTTCGGCTCTTAGAGAGCCTATTCTTCTGAATAGCTAGCCGCCTGGTTAGCCCGCGGGTGGCCTGATCTCCTGACTCTTTTATCAGACAACGACCCCCAACGAACGATCGTCGAGATAATCGCCATCCGGATTACAGGGCTGCCTGTGCACCGCGCTGATAATGCGATGCTTCTTTCCAGATGCGTCCCTGATACTCTCCTCTCGTGTGCTGTCTGCTTGTTCCAACATGTGTTGGAAAATACTGACTTGTGCTCGACTGTGTCTGGCGGAAATATTCCGGAATTCCAGACTCTCGACCGAGAAACTCTGCAGTGATCCCATCATCGACGTAGCGACGCGCGCATTTCACGGCGACAGTCGTCCGCGCAGTGTTCCGTCGTCTGGGACCTGCGGCTACGCAGTGCCACTTCTCGAATGTCGGTCGCTGGGGCGACAACAAACTCGTTCGAGTTGCAAGCGCGAAACTTGTCCACGAAACATCAGCGAAACAAGGCATCGGATTTCGCCTCACATTGTCAATGTCGCCAACATTTGACAACAACTCGACGAACGATCATTAGTCGACTCTCGAATGCGCGGGCGAAGCGCCTGGGGAGCCCGGAGGGACACCACGCTCCGCGGTCACGATTTGGCTGCGACGAAGTAAGGTGCATCTTTTTGAAGCTCGTTTGCCGGGACAATGTCCTCGAGCGACTTCTATCTCGGGGCGCTCTCTTGCAAATTAGGAGCGCTCGGACTCGGCTCTAGACGACACACCCCGCGCGCTCTTCAAGTGTTGGGTTTCATTGCACCCCTGGGTGGATGTGTGATTCATGCAGTGTGCGAGCTGCTGCGATTGTGGAACCGGCGGCCGCGGCGCTCGGTGAACCCACTGGCGAGATATATATACGATGGCTGGCTGCTTCTCTCCATAAATAACTGATAAAATGTGGCCACTCCATCGGTGGACCACAGCGAGTGAGCCGGAGGCGAAAAGCAACGGCGAGCTCCTGGACAGACTCATGAAGAAGCGACTCATCCGATGAAACCTATACGCCTACGAATAGCTGGCGAAAAGTGCCGCGAATCGGTTTGATATGGCATAGCGAGAGGTACGAACGACCGAGCTGGGGAGGACAAATCCATCCGAATGGACCAGACGATCGATGTCCCGACATGTTCCGATCGTATGTCCTGATTCATATCAGTTTCTGATTTATACCCGTCGTATTACACATGGCGTGGGCCGACTACCTTTAGTGGGAGCCTTCGCCGCTGGTGAATCAATTAAGTCCGATAGTCGTCGCAGTGCAGCTTTTGATTCTCGTTATGTATCGTATCGAGTTTGCAGCGACTCTCTGAAGACCGAGGTCCGAGTTCGTTGCGACTTGAGCATGGGATGATGATGAATTTCGATCCGTTTCGAAGGAACCCGATAGAAAACCTCGAACCATTCGACGGCGAACGTAGGTCCGGTCGAGACGTCCTTATTCTGTGACCTCATAGTTCTCCCATGCGATGATCGACTCCTCACGACCTCCTCCGACACGACGATACGTAATTCAATGAAAAGGGGAAGTGGGAGCGGGTTCGAGAATAATGATCCGAAAATTCCCAGGGCAAATAGGAGTGAGTGAATTTCCGAGGACCACCGAATTGAATGTGCGCTCCCCTGATCGGAGCTCGTACCAGCACCGCTCCAAGTGGTCGTCACAAAAACGGAGCTCGTTCGGAGCTCGCTTGTTGACGGAATTAAGTCTTGATCCCGAGCGTGAATATTAACGAGCAACAGCAGAGATCCTTGAAGGCAGACGACGACGACGACGAGCAAATCAAGACAGAGGAAGCCGGCGGGTGGCAGCGCGGCCGAGCATCTCCTAGACGGACGGACGGACGGATAGACTCGAGACGTCTGTCGACAACGATTCTCATGACTTCGGCCGCGTGTCGCCGCGTCCTTTAACTGTCACCTCGTCGTCCTGACTGAATGAGTCCCGCTGTTTCTCGTTAGACGTGCGACGTCTGCACGATCAGTTAGCTATGCGCATAATTAAATAGAAGCTACAGTGTCCGATGTGGGAAGACTCCCTCCTGCGCTCCCTCCGTACGTCCCGCTGCCAAGGTCCCGCCGAAGTTCGCACCGCACTGAAAGTAAAAACAGTCGGGATCGCTTTCCAGCGAGGAAAGCCGCCGGAGCCGCTGCCGACGCCGTTTGCTCCAGATTCATTGATGGATTGATGAAGGGACACAGTGGACTGGAGGTACGGCAGCGTCGACCGCACGTTCTGAAAGCCTTCCAGAATTTCCAGGAGCGAAGATAACAATGGCTCGCCGAATTTCTGGCGGCTCGATGCGGCGATCGACCTGCGGGCCGGCCGGCCGGCCGGCGGGCCCGACGTCGTCGCTCGCTCTGCCGATGAGCCAACTGGTCGTCTCGTTCGGCGCCCGGTTCAAGCGGGTGTTGCCGAAACGTCGCCGCCGCAGAGGGACGCTTGAAGGCGATGGAAAATCAAAAGAGCCGCCTCTAACCCTTTCTGGGTTATCGAAGCCGTTGGGTGACGTCGCGCGGCCGAAAGTGGACTCGTAGCAGCTGCCAACATCGTCAGTAAGTGAACCCTTCTCTCACATTTCCACCGACATGTTTTTCCATTGGCACTATAAAACCGTTAGACCGAGCGTCGATCGACCCGTTATTGTTGCAAGATGCACACCGCGCACATTGCGCTCTCGCTGACGGCGTTGGCCCTAGGAACGTTCGCAGCGAGTGTCGGCCAGCCTAAACTCTACGGTAAGGATTTCTGGCTTATCAGGGCTTAGGTTCGACCGTCATCTGGAGATTTATGGCCCTCCTCGAAGCCTTCTGTCGCTGCTTGTAGCCGACGCAAGGATTCCCACGTCACAGCTCGCCCCTTCCGGATGAGCTCGGACATCCGATGACATAGCGAAGAGTTTCCCTAAATCGCTATTCACTTCAATTCGAGTCCTATCTCCCACCCCTCCCTCGAGATTGGTCTTCCAGAGCAGGTTGGGGATTTCGTTTGTCGCTCGCGCGGATCATCGCAATCTCTGACAAACTTCTGGTACCATCTTGACCAAAAGCTCTATCGGGTCCCTCAGCTGATCGTGGTCCTCGTGGTCAGAAATCCGACTCGACTCCTCGGCCGGACCCTGTTCCAGATTCACGGACCAGGCGTCGCTCGAACTTTCGTTTCTCCCCAATGGTTGAGTTCCTAACATTTGTCTTCCTATCGGCTTCCAGGTGAAATCCAAGGACGGGGCAAGGTAGTCTGTTATTATCAAACCTGGGCCTACAACAGACCAGCTCCGTATACCTACGACATCGAGGACATTCCTGCAGAGCTTTGCACTCATCTCATTTACTCATTCGTGGGCTTGAGCAACAAAACGTGGGAGGTCGTTTCCATCGATGAGAAGCTCGACATCGAAAAGAGTGAGTTTCTCACGGACGTGTCTATCGAGTTGTGTCTAGCTCGCGGCGCGCCGTCGATTCCCGAATGACTGCTCAAGTCCTCCGATACCTCTCCGAAAGTCCGCGTACTTGCGGCCGCATCGGTCTTTCGTGACGCGAGTCGCCTGATTTACTTTCCCTGACAAGCTATCGAGTCGCAAGCGAAAAGAGTCGCTTTTTCCCTGTGCGGCACGGACGTCTTCTCGTATCCGTCGACGTCGCAGGCTTTTTTCCCCCTGTAAATCCTAAAGTATAAATCATGTGCGGGTGAGGTTGTCGCTCCGAGAGAGTCTCGCTCCAGTCGGAACTGGACGGCGGCGGCGGCAGCAGCCCCAGCGGCGGAGAGCGAAGAAGAGCTCGAAGCGAAAGCGCCTTCGTGTAATCAAGTGTGGTCATGTTTTTGGCAAGAAAAAAACTCCTAGGTAAATTGCTACTCCCGAGTGAAGTGGGCGGTTTGTTCGACGTCCCTGAGGAATTGCTTGCGATCAGTCCAGCGTGAGAGGGGTTTGCGAATGAGTGAGTCAGACGAGGAACAGCCAGCGGTTCTGAGTTTGAGCAACACCTGTCCTCCCCGAGTGGTGCCTAGTAACCAAAGAATCCTCCAAGATTTGTGTCTCCTCTGAGAGTAGACGTTAGAGTCATTCGTTCCATTGACTCTGGCCGGCCGGCAGACGGACAGGCAACACCGGCGGCCGCGGCAATGGTCTCAACGGATCTTGAACGACACCTCCGAGATGTCGTCGCGAACCCCTTCGGGATTCGAAGAGCGGGCATATGTAGACTGGGAAAGACAGAAAGTTGGAAATTTGAATTCTTGGAGCTGTTCGACTGATCCAAGCCAGCCGACCCGTCGTTCGGCCGGTCGGCTGGCTGACTGGCTTTGCGGGCTGATTTGGTGACAAGAGACATTCTTTCGTCAGGAAGGGGAACATTCAACACGAAGCCTATGACGACATAATGAGATTCCAACTCGGCGACATTGAAATTCTCCCGCGTCAACCAGCCGTGAAGTGGGATCTTGCTTTCAAATAGATCCCGCACCAAAAAGCCAGCGGAACGATTCTCTTCGGGAGGAGGAGGAGAAGACGAGCGCTGAGTGAGAGCGAAGTATGGAGAAGATCACGAATCGCCAGGAGATGTGAACGCACGTCTCCCTCCATGATTCGAAATATTCGGCATCCATCACTTTCCATATTCAGACTCGCTCGGAGCTGAATTCCCATCTCTGTCCTAGGAGGAGCACTCGTTTCTCACGAACGGGCCCCTACAAGATCTTGAGGAGGCAACGCACCATCTGATTCTAGGGCGGGAGTTTGACAGAATTGTTTTTGAAGAAATATTGTTTTTCACTTGCAGATGGTTTCAAACGCTTCAACGATCTGAAGAAGAAACACCAGAACCTCAAGACCATCCTCGCCATCGGAGGTTGGGATGAGGGGGGTCAGAAGTACTCTGACATGGTCGGGGTCAAGGAACGCCGCGCGATTTTCGTCCAGTCCGCCGTGAAATGGGTGAAGGAGCATGGTTTCGACGGCTTCGATCTCGACTGGGAGTACCCCGGCGCGGCTGATAGGCAGGGAAAGTATTCCGATAAAGAGAACTTCCTGAAACTCGTGCAAGAACTCCGCGCGGTTTTCGACCAGCAAACGCCTCGCCTGCTCTTGACCGGTAAGCTCAGTCATTCAGACCGTCACTCAGCCCCTTCGTCTGTCGGTCTCTCGGTCGCTCGGATGAATCAACGACTCGATGTCTGATTTCTCCCTCGCTGTGAAGAAGTCTGAAGTCGCTCATTGAGAGCCTGTCGTCATGTGTCTTTCAAGCGATAGTCGTAGAAGGAAGGAGGGTGCCTCAGTGCCCGGGAGGAGATGGTGTTCGCTTTCGCCAATCGCCCAGTAGACGACAGCTCGTCCGTGGGGAACATTGACAGAGCTCATTAGAATTCACCTCCAGCTTATTACTTTTAGCAGCACAACCAGACAGACAGCCAGCCAACCAGTCGGTCGATAGATAGACGGACCGACCGTTCGTCCATACGTCCGCTCGTCGAGAGACCGACGGAGGGAGTCACTGACAGTTACCCACCTACTCACTCAGCAGCTCTCCCCGCCATAGATCCTGACTGGGTCGTTGTTGCTTTTCAGTTGCTGTACCCATCGCCAAGTTCCGCTTGGACGAAGGATACGAAGTCAAAGCTCTAGGAGAACTCTTCGACCACATCCACGTCATGTCTTACGATCTCCGCGGGAACTGGGCAGGTTTCGCTGACGTTCACAGTCCCCTCTACCCGCGACCCTTCGATGAATGGGGATACGCCAAGCTCAACGTCGTACGTATAGCTCAGCTTCCTCAGCAGGGAATTCATTTCTTCTGATCTGTTATTCCGATTCGATTCGAGTTTATCCTCCATGAACCGTATTTGACTCTCTCTCAGCGCGACGGTCTTCAACTGTGGGTCGACAAAGGCGCACCGAAACACAAGCTCATCGTGGGCATCCCGATCTACGGTCGAACATACACCCTCGGGAGCAAGGACAACCACGGACTTCGCGCCGGAATCCGTCGCTGGGACACCGACGGCGGGAAACCCGGTCCCTACACTAACGCTAGCGGCTTCCACGCGTACTTTGAAGTTTGCCAGAACGTGAAAGAGAATGGATGGACTCGCGAATGGGACGATATCGGAAAGTGCCCCTACGCCTACAAAGACGACCAATGGGTCGGATACGAAGACGAGGAATCCGTCGCAATCAAACTCGATTTCATCATCAAGCAAGGCTATGGAGGAGCCATGGTGTGGGCGGTCGACATGGACGACTACAGAGCAGATTGCGGGAAAAAGAACGCCCTAATGACGATGATCAACACTTCGATGGAAAAGTTTTCTCCGCCACCTATGCCGACCACGACGCCTCGCCCCGTCATTCCGGCGGACAAGTCGACGAGCAGGCCCTCGAACGAAGGCATGGGAGACTCGACGTCGAGGTCCACGTCGACAACGACGACCACCAAAAGACCGATTCCCCCACCGAACGCCGAAGTATGCTCCGATCCGCAATTTATGTTCTACCCTCACGAGAAAGGTTCGCATCCCAGAATTCCTGCGATTAATCGATGGGTTTTTGAAAAATCTCAATAGCTCCTTCGCTTGTACGCGGAGCTCCCGACTTCGCGTATTCTTCTTTTTCGTTTCCGTATCCTCGAGCATCCGCGAGCTCATTCTTCGGAGCGCCAACGCTCGGAGCGGAGTCGTAGGAGGAATTCTGCGAAGTACCGAACAGATTGAATGTCCCTCTCCGTCTAGTCCCTTATTCCTCTCATAAGCTCATCGCGTATATTCTCGCTCGAGAGTGAAAATTACGCAGCACTGGTGCTCCTCATCCGAAGAGAACTTGACAAGCAGCTGAGATCCTTCTGTGCTGCGCCATCGAGCTCCGATCTCATCTGATTCCTGTTTCTTTCCAGAGTGCACCATGTACTACCTCTGTGTTCACGGCAAGCCCGAGCTCAAGCAGTGCCCGAAAAAAACGGTCTGGGACACCGACAAGCTCATTTGCAATTGGCCGGTGGACGTGACGCGTCCTGAATGTAAAAGCGTTGTGTTCGCCGCTCTCGAGACCGCGGAGGAAACCGAGACCCCGGTCGGGAAACAAGATGATCAAGGACTCAACAACAAAGGACCAACAAGGGAGTCGGGGAAGGATTCTTCTTCGGAAAAGCACAACAACTCGATAGAGGACAACAAGAACAGCGGTAGCGAGGGCAAAAAGGAGTCGGTCTGATCTCATACGAAAGAAGTCGGCTCTCGTTCCGAAGCCAGACTTAATTTCCGCTTCGAATCGCAGGAAATAGGTCAAGAGTAGTCGAAGACGAAGACGACGACGTGGCGGATTGAAAGTGGGTGGAAGCGACCGACAAGACATGCGGGGCGTGGGGCACCCAAAAGACAACGAAACGACGTCGTCCACGTCAACGGCAAACGTCTGGGCCTGAGCCAATCCACGTACCCATTCCGTTCATTTTCCCTGCTCCTACTATCTCCTGCCGCTCGGGCCCTGTCGCTTTTTCTCCTCATTTCCCTGCTCCCTGGAAAAAAATTGACCCCGAATGCCGCACGACCGTCAAACAATAGTTCCGCCAGCTGCAAGTCATCCGTCATGGAACGCTTCTTCGTCCGACACGGTGAAGGATCATCCTGAGGAAGAGTCCGACGTGGGGAACGTGCCGAGAGACGGTCGCTGCCTCCAATATTCGGTGCTAAGGCGACTCCGATGTCGTCTAGGAATGATCGACCGTCGTTCCTCCCGCTCCGTTTTCCCCATCCGACAGTTTCTCGCAACTTATCGCTCGCCATAACATCTCTCCGGACGATTCCGCCTATTCTACGCATGGGAGGCGACTTATCATTATTCAGGGCGTAATGGCATCGGGGAGCGCCGAGACTTTCGCAGAATTTTATTTATTCCCGGTGACGATATTAATGATGATGGCGTTTCCGCTCGAGTTCCATTTAAACGAGCTCTGAATAAAAAGAGAACAAGAATAAAAAGAGAACACTTCGCTGTTCGCAGAGATGAAAAGTATTGATAGTTCTGATCTTCTTCCTTCGGCTGGAAGATGCGGAATCGGGAGAAGTCAGCCTTGGGGAAAGTAGGGGTAAAGGGGAGGCGGTAAGGGGGGACGGAGAATATATCGCTGCACTATGGCCTTGGTCGGCGTTCCGTCCTCGGGAGAGCCATACGAAACGAAGACGCCACCAACGCTGCCGTCGCTCGTACGAAGTTATTGCGATGCCTCCTCCGCCCGTGGAACAACTGCGACGCTCTCCCCGCGACCCCCCTCCCCCGGAGGAAAGACTAAGGGCCCTTGTGCTCCCTCTCCGGTCCGCCGTCCGCCCCTCCGCGAATTCTCTTTGCACCGCTCATTCCCTCTATTTGTTACTGGTTTTCAAAGAAATACGATCAGTGTTCTATTGTCTGTGGGCCCCAAACAGCGGAAACAGCAACGACAGCGTCTACAACAGCCAGAACAACATCTACAACAACCAGGGCAGCAAAAGGTTTGGAGCTCCTCCGCATTTGCGTTGTCTTTGAATGATGCTCATGTATAGCGGGGGAAAGAGCAAAGGGAAAAGCTCTCCTGACTTGATTCGCTCTATCGAACTGACCCCATTGCCGGGAGAAACTTCCAGGCCATCAAGGTTCTCTACTCCTGGGAGTACTAGTTCCCCGTCACGGACGTTCTCCGGCTTCGCTCTCGCCCGGAGTCGGAAGATTCTCCAGGCTCACCGATCATAACAAAGTAAATCGAGAAGGTGAGTGCGTGACATGAGGAAATACCCCTCAGACACTCAGGGTATGCATGCGTTCGACATTACTATTCACTTTCGCCATTCCTTGTAGCTCCTACCCGAATCCTTCTGTCATGGTCTTCTTCAGCTCGAATTACGTCAGCAGCTCGAGCCGAAACATTCGCGCTCGCCCGTCAGCGCTCCGTTTGATGTAGGATGATTCTCATCTTCCGTTCCATCTCATGCGATTACTCTGGTGATTAATTAAACGTACGGAGCCAGTCGCGGTATGTCCTTCCTTAACGTTACGTGGATATCTCGAAAAAGTCAGCGCAGCGGCCTTGACGTCTCCTGCTGATGGTGGCAGCCTTCCGAACCTGGATCCAGAGTTGTGGAACGATTTCTTGCCACCTTTTCGTAAGGTCTCCTTCCGAAAAACCATTCCCGAGTGATTGTTTCTCTCGCTGGATCCGGTGTGGACAGGAAACTTTGCTCCGCTGTGGAACAAATCCACTCTTGGTATTACCAGATGTTCCTACCCATTCTGGATCGCGTGCTATTATGAAATGTCGCTCACAGATGACCAACCATAACCTCTACTCGCCGTGGGTAAAAACACCATTCGACCTGTTACGTATTGGACGCGTTTCAATAAACTCCGATTGGCGAAATTCGATCGCTGTTCTACTTCAAGCAGCTCGCTAGAGCTTCACGGTCCGTGAGCTCGGGACGAAGATATTACTGTTGGAACTAGCGACTGAGGGCGTCAGAGGACAGCAGAGAGCATTGTCAGCATCAAAGGAACTAGAGAACAATGACGCCGAACGTCGACGTCGTCGGTCGATGGCGTAGATCTTTTTCTTTTTTTTTCTTTGCCCTCCGTCGCTTCTATTCTAATACGCCTGATCTACGAGCCGCCTGGAAGATCTTCTCTGTATGTAGACTTTCGTTCTATTCAATGTCGTCAAGAGAACGAACCCGCATTCCATTAGCGAGGAACAGCCGAGGAACCAGTCGGTCTGCGTCCAGTGTCGCGTCGTCTGTGTTCCTACCAGCGGAGCTTCTGTCGCAACGGTTGCGACGCGAGCGTCCAAAGAAGTCGCTAACGAATCATTTCGAGCAGTGTTTTTCGCGGCTCCGGTCCGTACGCAGGACGCACACAAAGTTCTGGCGGGAGCATCTCGGGGGTTTTCTCGTTCCCCGAGTTGAAGATATATTTGGACGACAGCCATGGACGCAACAATTGTAAATGGCCTTCCATTCGTTTTGTACAGCGCGACCAACCAAGCAAGCAACGATCGTCCGACGCCGCCGCACAAACGGCGACCGAACGCGCGGACCAGTGGGGAGCTGCTGGGCTGGCGGTCGTGCCCAGGGACGGACGGTCGGACTCGGGGACAGGAGCGCGAGGGGACGGAACCGATGGACCCGCAAAAGTTAGCGAGCGAATGCCACCTTATTTTTTTTGACAACGATCTTTGAACGCTCCATCGAACAAGATTAGAGGAACGGCAGCCAACGAGAAGAAATCGGAAGGACGAATCGAATGTCTCTGAACGAAATGTCCCGAGTCAAAACGCAGATGCCAAGGGAATCTAGGGCGAGTCCGCGACCGTCTTCATTCTCGGAGTACATATCTCTTGATGCTCAATGGTAAAGAACCGAAACACATCACGGTTCAATGTCTCTGGACGTTTACGAAATTGAGAGGATTGCCGCTGTCGCCGTCGTCGTCGCCATAACCGACGCCGAGCCTGATGGAATTGTGCCATGGAGACTCTCGACCGGGGAAGAAGGGACAACGTTTGTTCCCTCGAGGACGACATGGTTCCTATTTCATCGTTCTGTTCGTGTGTGAGTGTGCGTTTATATCGCAAGCCCATGCCTCAATTTTGTTGGTGAGCGCTCGTAGTAGCCGGCTGGCCGGACTCATGCCGGCGGCTCGACAGGGGCTAGCACACTGGGCGTAGCAGCTCTCTCTGGGCCGACTATCCTTTCAATGTCGTTTATCTTCGCTATGATTTGTGAAGAAGAAATCTGGCCGCTGGTCGCCACAGACGGACGCTCGGTCGAGCCGACAGGCAGGCCGGCCGGCAGGGAAAAAAAATCGATTTTGCTTTTCCGAAATGGAACAATCGGTGGTCCACCATCACAAAGCCGCCGCCATCGCCGCACAAAGGCCGTCCTCTAAAAATCTACGCTAAGTAAGTCGTTTTTTGTTCATTTGGGAAACGGCTCAACAAACTTCTCCATCTAAGAATTTCGTTACCGCGACCGTTGCGACCATGTCGGCCACTACGACGACGTGAGGGATCGCTATATCACTGGCGAAAGCGATTCCGACTTGACCGCCATCAGAGCGCAGCCAATAGGAGAAGTACCTAATCGCAAAATGCCTCGATGGGAAACTGGGATCCGGATTCGGTGGAGCGTTCCATCTCCGATCAATCGAGATCGTGGAGAGAACGCTTCCAACATGAAAGACTGCTTCCAACTGGTGTCGGGACGATGTAGGAGGGGAGAAAGCCCACCTAATAGAAGTATAGGAAAACACATGCGGCCTGTTTCTGCGGAAGGGTCGTGCCACATCCCAGTCTCGAGAGGGAAGACAAGAGACAAAGTTCCTGACTAGGAAAAAGGACACCGACCGGGGGTGAAGATCCGGCTTTTGTTTACGACAGCCACCCTTTGTGGATTCCTCTCGAGGGCTGGAAATCAGCTAAAAGAAAGAAAACGAGAATCGGTCAGGTCCTCGCTACAAGTTTACTTTCCGCTCTACGGAACTTCGTCCGACCGAGAGGGAGCGACGCTTGATTTTTGTCTTGTTCTTGAGAGCCTCCTCTCCCGTCTTTAATGTTTGCTCATTTCTCGGCCGTGACGAACAGACGAATCGGCGGACGGGAACGAAGGACTTACCGACGGAGGAACGAACGGACGTATCGTACTGTGGGACGTGTGTCCGAGTGAGTGGTTGCCAGGTTGTATTGGCAGACGGACCTCTGTTGCCGGGATTTAGCCTGAGCTCGCTCCTCGAAACGATACAAGTAACATCCTGATAAGGCATCGGCCCGAGGTGACAGCTTCCCGGCTGACACCTTCGTTTTTCCGTCAGACCATGCTCCCTCATAGCGTTGCGAGAGTCGACGAAATGCGCTCACGAGACGATTCTGGCAACGAGCCGTTTCTAACGAGCTCGTGAAACCGAATTCGGTATTCTCTGACCCCCGCCTCCTCGGTGGGACGCTCGTCCGAGCAGCCCGAGGTGGCCACTTGCGACTAGGTCTTTCGGCGCGGTTTGCATTTCGACTACATTCATTCCCCAGGAGAAAAGTAGTTCACCGACTATGAGCGGAAGACGCGGAGGGAACTTCTCTAATCCTCGTTATATAGGAAACTCCCTGATTCGGTCGAAACACTTCTACAGTGGAAGCCACACGGCGCAATAGTTGCACGGGCACGCAGCTGGCGCTGAGCAGTAATAGGGGTGGGTAT